ATGACAAAGAGATACATGTCCTGGGGAGCCCCTTATTTTCCATAACCTCTTTTGTTTTAACTTTGTAATGGGTGCAGTAAGTCTCCTTTGCTTTTGAGGGAAGTGGGTGTTGAAGCCTGATAAAAACAAGGGCTACAGCAAGAAGGAAGTAGGATGACTAGGGAATAGGTTTTGAAAGTCAAGAAAAAGGTGTTAGATTTGATAAGGGTGCAAGATGCAAAAAAAAACCAACAAACCCACTGTGTTGAAAGAACTCTATTTCTCAGCCTTCTCTCAAACTACTGTGTAAAGATTGGAGTTAAAACAGTATATTCTCATCATTTTTCTTTGGGTATAAGATCCAATTTTTTTTTTTAAATCTTCTGTCAAATATAATATGGACTTTTCCCTTTGGCAGCTTCCAGCTTTCTTCATCCTCCAGTGCCTACTACCTGTTGAACACTTAGGGGTATGTCAAGCATTTAATAGAAATTTCTATTCTGATGGCTAGATCAGTGTCTGAGAATTGAGTGGAGGTAGGAAATCTATTCCCATGCGTACCAGTGACAAAATAACTGCGAACTGCACTGAGTGAAGAAAAGGTTTAATGATCTTTGTGTCTTTTGCAGAAGCATTTACTTTCATGGTTTTTCTGCCTGTTGATAAGCCTGCGTATGAATTTTGTTCTGTGTTGCTGTGAAGCTTTTTGCAGTGCATTTCTTCCTGGTCAAGTAAGCTTGCCTACACGTGTACTTTGAATTCTAGGGTTTCTTAGAATCACAGAATCATAGAAGAGTGAGGGTTGGAAAGGACCTTAAGATCAATAAGTTCCAACCCCCTCATGGGCAGGGATACTAAACCATGTCGCCCAAGGCTCTGTCCAACTTGGCCTTGAACACCGCCAGGGATGGAGCATTCACAGCTTCCTTGGGCAACCCAATCCAGTGCCTCACCACCCTTACAGTAAAGGACTTCTTCCTTATATCCAATGTAAACTTCCCCTGTTAAAGTTTTAACCCGTTACCCCTTGTCCTATCACTACAGTCCCGTATGAAGAGTCCCTCCCCAGCATCCTTATAGGCCCCTTTCAGGTACTGGAAGGCTGCTATGAGGTCTCCACGCAGCCTTCTCTTCTCCAGGCTTAACAGCCTCAACTTCCTCAGCCTGTCTTCATATGGGAGGTGCTCCAGTCCTTGATCATCGTTGTGACCCTCCTCTGGACATGTTCCAACAGTTCCATGTCCTTTTTATGTTGAGGACACCAGAACTGTATGCAATACTCCGTTTGAGGTCTCACGAGAGCAGAGTAGAGGGACAGAATCATAGAATCATAGAATAGTTAGGGTTGGAAAGGACCTTAAGATCATCTAGTTCCAACTTCCCTGCCATGGGCAGGGACACCTCACACTAAACCATGCCACCCAAGGCTCTGTCCAGCTTGGCCCTGAACACTGCCAGGAATGGAGTATTCACAGCCTCCCTGGGCGACCCATTCCAGTGCCTCACCACCCTAACAGGAAATAATTTCTTCCTTATATCCAGTCTAAACTTCCCCTGTTTAAGTTTTAACCCGTTACACCTTGTCCTGTCACTACAATCCCTAATAAAGAGTCCCTCCCGAGCATCCCTATAAGCCCCCTTCAGATACTGGAAGAGATGAGATCTCCACACAGCCTTCTCTTCTCCAGGCGAACAGCCCCAACTTTCTCAGCCTGTCTTCATACGGGAGCTGCTCCAGCTCCCTGATCATCCTTGTGGCCCTTCTCTGGACTTGTTGCAACAGTTCCATGTCCTTTTTATGTTGAGGACATCAGAACTGCACGCAATGCTCCAGGTGAAGTCTCACGAGAGCAGAGTAGAGGGGCAGGATCATCTCCTTCAACCTGCTGGTCACGCTCCTTTTGATGCAGCCCAGGATATGGTTGGCTTTCTGGGCTGTGAGCACACACTGCAGCCGGCTCATGTTGATTTTCTCATCAACCAACACCCCCAAGTCCTTCTCTGCAGGGCTGCTCTGAATCTCTTCTCTGCCCAACCTGTAGCTGTGCCTGGGATTGCTCCGACCCAGGTGTAGGACCTTGCACTTGTCATGGTTAAACTTCATAAGGTTGGCATCAGCCCACCTCACAAGTGTGTCGAGGTCCCTCTGGATGGCATTCCTTCCCTCCATTGTATCAACTGGACCACGCAGCTTGGTGTCACTGGCAGACTTGCTGAGGGCGCACTCAATCCCACTCTCCATGTCAGCGACAAAGGTGTTGAACAAGCCTGGTCCCAACACCGATCCCTGAGGGACACCACTCGTTACTGATCTCCAGCTGGACATTGAGCCATTGACCACAACTCTTTGTGTGCAGCCATCCAGCCAGTTCTTTATCCACCAAGTGGTCCATCCATCAAATTGATGTCTCTCCAATTTAGAGACAAGGATGTCGTGTGGGACAGTGTTGAATGCTTTGCACAAGTCCAGGTAGGTGACATCAACTGCTCTACCCCTGTCCATCAGTTCTGTAGCCCCATCACAGAAGGCCACCAAATTGGTCAGGCAGGATTTCCCCTTAGTGAAGCCATGCTGGCTGTCACCAAGCACCTTGTTGTTTTTCATGTGCCTTAGCATGCCTTCCAGGAGAATCTACTCCAAGATTTTGCCAGGCACAGAGGTGAGACTGACTGGTCTGTGATTCCCCGGGTCATCCATTTTCCCCTTCTTGAAAATGGGGGTTATATTTCCCTTTTTCCAGTCATCGGGATTTCACCTGACTGCCATGATCTTTCAAATATTATGCACAGTGGCGTAGCAACTTCATTCACCAGCTTCTTCAGGACCCGCAGATGGATTTCATCAGGTCCCATGGACTTGTGCACGTTCAGATTTTTAAGATGGTCGCGAACCAGATCCTCTCCTACAGTGGGCCCAAGTTCTTCATTCTCCCAGTCCCTGCGTCTGCCTTCCAAGACTTGGGTGGTTTGGTCAGAGCATTTGCCAGCAAAGACTGAGGCAAAGAAGTCATTAAGAACTTCAACCTGCACGTGCTTTCTGTTAGGATCAGAACTCCTCTTATTTTTAAAGGCCCAGTTGTGCAAGGACTATCCTTCAGTGAACATCAAGCAGTATGTATTTGAATTAACTCATTCTATAAAATCTTTTAAAATCCCTCTAGCTTGTGAAGCATTAAAGCAAGTAAGGACGCTTACTTCAGTGCATTAGGAACTGAGGCCAGAAGATAAGTGCTTTTCCTGACAGTGCCTAATAGCAGATCTCTAGTTCTTGTGTAGCTCTACAAATCTTACTTGTCCCTCTCTTGGCAGCCTAGGTTCACAGGAGGAGCAAAACAGTCCCCTTCTAGTCTTGCAATTGCTTCATGGCTCAGCAGTACAAGCTGCTTTAATTTTATTACTAAGTATGCAGAGAGATTCAGTTATTGTGATCTTGGGGTTTGGTACTTTTGTTCAGGGAAGAGTTTTATTGGGTAAAATCATACTGACACAGTGGTTCTCAACCTGGGGAGCAGAACAGTAAAGGCATTCTCTTGTTCACCTCCTCTGTGGGCTCTTAGGTGCCCTGTACAGTGTCCTGGCTGCTCTTTATTCTGGTTTTAGAAGCCTGCCTCTCCCTATTCAGCTTTGTGGAAACCTAGCATTTAAAGATGTTGAATAATATTTAGTGAAAAGTTTCCCTGTGTACATTAACAGTTAAGAGTATTCATGGAAAAATGGTGCACATCCATGTAATTAAACATGGATGTGAGCTACGTGGGTAAAGATTATCGACTTTAAGGCCTTTAGTTGCCTCTGTCAACCTGCATTCTCTCCACAATGCTTTGTGTTGATGCTGCTTCTCAGCTCTTTCCCTTTCTTTAGAAAGCAGTAGATAGCTCCAGGAGTTATCTGCCTGTGTACCACTTTAGCTTATGCAGCTGTTAGAGGTTTCTTGTTTGCAGGCAACACATGGTGATTTGCCCATAGTATATGGAGCATATGGGAAGCAAAGACCCAAAAGGTAATTATTACTTAGCTTGGACAAGTGAGCATTACAGTTACAGCAATCTTAGGGCTATAGTGCTATAGTTTCTATTACTTCAGTTGTCTATTATACTTATTTTTCAACTCTTAATTCATGTGTTGTTTTTTTCCTCCTGTACGCATAGTGTGCTTATTTATTGTGGAATTGCAACATTTATCACTGTTGGAGGAAGAGTATGCCTATATTTCTTTACCTGCTTTTGCAGTTGCAAAGGAAGTTATTACAAGGTTGTTTTTTTTTCCTGCACTACTGTAGGCAGTGGAATCATCCAGCTTGCGTGGTCTGTATTATTAAATTCTCATCTCTGCCTTTTCGCTAACAACTACCTTGTAATTTTTAAAACCTTAAATTTCCAATGTCAGTGGCTATGGAGGAATTGAAAAATCAGACCTACAGACACATGTTAATTTTATCTAACTTCAGTCCTCAGAAGTGAATCCTGGACTGCACTACCTGTAGTGTCTGTAGGGGTTTTGCTGTCTACAGCACTCCCTTTCTTGACTCATCCTAGTAGTAGCTTTCTTTCTTCAAGTATGTGGTGAAGCATTTGCAGCAAATATAAAAATTCCTCATGGAACGTAAATGTTTTACAGAGCTTGACTGCCTATTCTTCACCAAGTCTTCCATAGTACCTTCCAGCACTTAAATTTTACATTTTTACCTTTTTTATACATTCTTGTTTTTCATAAAATACTGTGGTTTGATATCTTGGATGTTTGAATATGATTTTTCACAAATACTGCAGAGAACAGTATTTAAGTCACTGTATCCTAATGTCTGTTTCACCACCCCCTAGGGTAAGCCATATGCCTGAGAGGGAGGAGCTGACTGCTGCTTGTGTTATGTAAAATACTAAATAACTTATAATGCTAACTGAAAATATCTGCCTTGGTTGACAAACATACATTAAAGTGCTTGACAGGCACTAGATTGAGACATAATCAAAATAATTCCTTGAAGATATGGGAGAATAATTTGCTTTATTTGATTTTTTTAATTTTTTTTTTTTTTTACCCAAGCGGGGAAGCTTTGCTGTGAGTCAGTCTGTGGTTTACTTGAGAATATTGTTGACCCACTTCAGGAAATCCTTAGCTGGCAGATCAGTGTGAACCATGATGGAGGTCTGCAATATGATTCTGCAAACACTTAACTGAAAGCAGCTTTTCTGACGTGTACTGCCTTGTTGCTGATACCAGCATCTGCTCCTGTAAAGAATCACATGAAGCTTTGGATCATGTGTCTCTTTCCTCTTGTCTGTCATAACGAAAGGATTAATGATTTTTTGCACTGCCTTAGAAAGCTGAAGGTGTTGCAGTGTACTAACAAATGCCAGTTTTAGTGTAGCTTTGAAGCTATAATGTATGCATGGAATTTCAGAGAACTGCATCTCTGCTGAGCATAGTGAATTAGCATTAGTGTTTGATGGTGTGAATTCATACAACTTCTGCAAGCTGTTTTGTTTTCAGGCAGAGACTGTTAGCTTCTATCATATGGACTGTACCTGCTTTTCTAATTTTTATTTTGCGAAATTAAAAATTGCATAAACAGAAGAAGCTCGTTTCAGCATTCCTCTTAATGTAATTGAGTATTTCTGCAGTGAAAAGTTAATGATCTGCTTTGCAAGACATAAATGCAGCAGTGACCTGCTCTCCTTTAGATGTTGCGGTAGTAGAATGGTGGGGCTTTGCATGATGCATGCATCCATTGTTTGTGTTAAGCTGCTTGCATGAGTCTGCTGGATGTTTTGTCTCTGCATCGGTTATAAAGGAATACTTCTGTTTCTTCTGGCAAATAATTATTCTTGATGTAATTTTTGTGTCATCCCCATACAGCTCTTTCTCCCCATTACCCTCCCCCCCAGCTATTAAAACATAATTATCTTAGGCAGTTTTGTTAACATGATGTGTAAATGCATACATATGCTTTGGATTCATGTTGTGTGCTGTTTGTTCTGCTCTTCTGTCTGCTGAATTTGCTTCTTGGTTGCAAAATAGTTAAAATTGCCTAAATGCTTTTTATGTAGTACCATTTTATTGGTAGCGTTTGCCAGTTGATACCTGTGTACAGTTCATAGCTGTATATGCTGTCTTGTATACAATCCTGAAGCATGGATAAAGTGTTTAGTGGAATTATTAACCAGAAGTATAAATGAAAGTCAAATGAAGATACTGCTGGAAAGGTACCTTAAAAAAATTGGTATGGAAAGAAGTTTTCTTCTTTCACTCTCAATTTTTATTGTAAATTAACTAGCATTGATGGGGTAATATTGGGAAAAAATATTTAATTCAAATGTAGAATATAAGTTACTAGATTCTCTAAGATTATATCTATTCCTGTAAGTTTTAAATATGACTTTGATTAAATATTCAAGTAGAGAAATTCAGAGCTTTCACTTCCTAAACTTCAGTCTAGGTTTTACATAGGCATGTCTTTCTCTGATACAGAAAGCAATCAGAAGACATTTGCTTCTCTTCATTAAAATGCTCTGATCTCTATGCAGTGGGTATTTTTGCTACCTTTTAAAAACGATCTGTTTATTAATCATATGCTATCAAAATGAAAATTTACATTCTCTCTAGAGTATGTAACTTTCAGAAAATGGAATGAGTCCTGTTAAACTGAGTAGTAAAAGCACATTCAGAGCCATCTGAATATTTGGGCATATGATTAAATAAACATTGAATTATCAGTAAAATAGAAGTATTTTAGATTTGCATATGGATGAAATATTAAAAGAAATTAAGAAATGCTTCAAGCTTCAGTGTGCTGTGTGACTCTTACAAAATGCTCTTTTGAGATTTATTCTTATGAAACACTTCTGAAACAACATAATTGTATGCCCAAAACTCATTTTTGTCCTTTAAAAAAGCGGTTTATTCGTTTAGCAACTTTGTTTTTACTTGTCAAGCCTCTGTGGGATATAAAGTCCATTAAAAAAGCTAAAAGCCTTTACTTGAGTATTTGCAAAAAACCCCCAGTCAAATCTTCATTATTTGATTTGTTACACTTAAAATTGCAACCCAGTAAATTAAGATATAATCATTGCACTGAATTGCATTGCAATTCAAAATGTGGTTCAATATTGCAGATATATTACCAAAGGCAGATATACTCTTTCACACTTGAACTCATATTCTAAAAAATTTTTCCAGTCTGGTATAAAGAGTTCTGCTAAATAAGCTTGGAACAAGCAAAAAAGTGTCTTGATAGCAGTAATTGTCTGCTTTTTATTATCTCTATTTTGTTGCTTTTAAAAATAAAATTGCAGTATTTGAATGATTGGAAGGATTGACTGAAAATTATTGTCTTCAAACTGAACCATGCTAAACTTCTGAAAAATTGTACAGTACTTTAGGTTTTGAATGCTGTGTGAAAATTGTTGGTAGGGATTACATAAGCCAAAATAATGGCACATTGTCCTTTTTTTTGAACCCTAAAACATATGTTGCCTTGTTCTTTTGGGAGTTTCTAATAGGATATAGATAACTAATTTTTCATAAATCAGTATGGTAAAAAATAGATTCATAATAACTTTATGGATGCTGCATTAAAACCTTAAAAATGCAGGCACAAATGGATGGGTTTCAGAGTCAATTACATTAATCTTGCTTTCATGATTTCCTTTTTATTAAAAGCCTCAGCACTCTAGTGTGTGGTTTGTTTTTTAGACTGAATCTGGCTATGGATCAGAGTCAAGCTTACGACGCCATGGCTCCATGGTGTCTCTTGTTTCTGGAGCAAGTGGCTACTCTGCAACATCCACCTCTTCATTCAAGGTTAGTGAATAAAGTTTGCTTGGTATTGGTGCATAAGTAACACACAACTTAAAAAGAAATAACTTGTGTGCAGACTGCCACAGAGTTGTAGAAAAAAACCCAAAATATTTTGTTTACTGCAGGTGTGAGTATTTAATTTTATGATGAACCACAGGTACAGAAAGCTCTCTCACGCCTCTGTACAGTTGCCCTTTTTAAACTATCATGTCATCTTCCAGTGGCAAGAAAATCAAACCTCTCAGAGCATTTATAACCTTTCCTCGTTTATTCCTCAGAATAGCAAGGCCTCTAAATGAAAAGGAATGCTGATTCTGTGACTTAATATATTTGGTTGATAGAGATTGAAAACATTATGGCCTTCCTTGTTTCATGTGCATAAATAATTAACATGAACATAGGTGGGCTGTGCTTCTGGGAGAGCAGAAGAGGAGCTTCACACAAGAAAGGGAAATAAAGATGGATCAAAGATCTTAAACTAGAGGTTACTGTTTTCAGGCAAATAGGCATAAAATTGGTAGCATACAAGATCACATTTTTAATAAGCTTTTGCTGAATGCTCTAAAGTAGCATAGGTAGTCAAGAGTTAAAACTGAGACCAGTGGACAAAATGCTTGTGTGCAATTCTTTATACCTTTCTGACATTAATAGTGTGTCATAGCTGAACTTGAATTTGTTCTTCATAGCTGCAGAATTGATTTTTTTTTTTAACATATTGGACTACTGCTGGATGTTCAGAAGCATTTCAGGCATTTTTCTCTTGTATTTTCAGAAGGGCCATAGCTTACGTGAGAAGCTTGCAGAAATGGAAACCTTCAGAGACATCTTGTGTAGACAAGTTGATACTTTACAGAAATACTTTGATGACTGTGCAGATGCAGTTTCCAAAGATGAACTCCAGAGGGATAAAGGTAAAACTGTAACAGAAAACTCATATCTCTATAGAATTTAGCTTTTTACACAGTAATAGCCCTTAAAATAGTTACTATAGTATTTGATACCATATAAAGAAAGTATCTTAAATTTACTCTTTAATATAGAAATCAATCATACATATTTCTGCATAAACAGAGTTTAACTATTTTCACTTCAGAAGCTGAATTCCTTTAAAAACCTGTTTAACTTAATATTAACCTGTAGCTGTCAATAGTACAAAAGAAATACACTTAGTGATGTTACAGAACAATAATTGGTTACTCTCATAAGATGAATTCAAGTTAGTTTATCAGTGTGTCACTTTTATTTTGATAAAACAATAGGCTACTAGTTTCAATAGAAATAATACATTCTTTAAAAAGGCAAAGGGGCTATCATAATGCATCCTCATGAGATGTGTTAGCTGAAACTAGAGCACTGGGTGTACACTTGTGGCCCTCGTAGACTCCAGTGTGGATGTCTACATATTTCTGAATTGCTTTTCTCAGAGCACAGCTTGTTGCTGTATCCATGTACACTCCTGGGGCATTCATATTCATTCCTGGGTTTGGTCCGTTAGCTTGAAACTTTAGGTAGTAAGTAAACAGTAGATGTACAATTCCACTTCTTTGCAAACTTTTTAGTGCAGAAGAGTATAGTTGCTGAATTGTAGCGCCCTGCTTTATCCAGTTGTAGCACCAAAACATTGTTGTTCTTACCATAGAATTGAGTGCTAAACTTCAACACTGAGCAAGCATTAGATGGTTTCTGCTAGTAACACTGATAGCAGACTGGAGTCAAAAAATACCAAACTAAACCAACAACAAGTACCCCCCACCAAAACAAACAAAAGGCAAAACAACCAAAACCACACAAAAAAGCTAAAGGCGGGCTGGGGTGGTCATGACTTTTGTTGCAGGAAGAAATCTTAAATGCTGTTTAGCCATGAAGATGCTCTTAATTCTTTCTTGCACACAAAGAATTGGAAGAGCCTTCTCATTCCCATAATATTTTGTCTCCAATTTAGTGGTAGAAGATGATGAAGATGATTTCCCTACAGTGCGTTCTGATGGGGATTTTGTACATAACAGTAACAGCAGTAAGGAAAAATGTAAGTCTGTCCCAACTTTTTCACTGAAAATTCGTATGAATGATATGAGAAGCCTGATACATGGTCAGTACATATGCTCTTTTCTAGGCAGAAAATGGCAAAAGTAGTTATTCAAATGTATGTGACAGCAAGTTCTTCTTCACGTTACCATTTATTAGGTGCTTTTCATGATTCTCTGAGTTACACTTAATTCACACAAATATTAATGTAAGTTTGGAATTTCCTATTCTGTGTCCAAAGCTGTATTCACTGCAAAATTCTGTTGAAACAGCTGCCTCATTCAGATATTGGGACCTGGTATTTGTGACAGGTTACTGCAGTTTTTCTTGCAAATGTGACCTGCTTTAGGAGTGTGGTGGAGAACGATGCTTTCCCAGTTACGTATGTCCCAGTATAGTTTTTCCGACTTCTATGAGTATGTAGTGTGAAGTCAACAGTGTTACCAGTTCTCACTCCTCATAATATTAGCACTTTTTTTTACTGTATTTTCCATTATGATGAACAGAATTCTGATTTTTATTATTTTAAATGATCTCATTATTGTACTCACTGCATCCATGCAGTAAATGTGAAGGACTCATGCAGTTCTTGTTGGTCTAGAAATCTGATACTTCTGGCCTGGCACTTAAAATCCATTTGCATTCTTCTTAGCCTTTCTTTTGTTCCCCAACCAAAATATTTTGGTGTTTACATTGTGTAAATGCTGACGATTCAGTCCTAAGATATTTCTTAGACTTTGATTCACAAAACTTTGAAGTTGCACTGCCTTCAGTTTCAAATCTGATGGTATCTCCCAAAGTCCTTGCTAAAAGCATTTTGAAAAATACAAACACTTTAATCAAGAACGTGGAAGATATATGGGCAAAATGAGCCTATTCTTTGTCTTGTTTTCATTTTAATTGTGTGTTGCCCCCCTGTTACATCTTTCCTTGTTGCATTTAAGTGCTCTTTCTAGAGTATAGCCAAAATTGTTATGAGGAAAAAGGAAAGGAAGTGGAAGGAGCTTTCAGGTTACTTCTAGAATTCATCATATGAGTAAATTTTTTTCAATTACATAAAGTACTTCCTCTGCTGAGAATTAATTGTAATGCTGATTTCAAAGGTTAAGTACATATAACTCTAGTTTTGAATAAATTTTTCTTGCCTTTTATTACCAAAGATAAGTAGTCTTGCAACGCTCACCTGCAAGCAAGTGCACAGTTCTCCTATCCCTTGTGTGTATACAAGTGTACATTTTCTGAGGACTGTTAAGTCAGAGAAAACCTCATAAAACAAAGAGCCTTCTTTAAAAAAATGTTAAGTGAGAATTTAATTTTACTGCATGATTCATTTTGAAAAAGATGTCTTTGTCAATTTTAATTTTTGTAGGATAATGTAGGAGTTTCAGCTTAATTTACCTTTAGAACATCTCTTCATATCTACATTCTTCTGGTGTACTGCTATATGTACACATAGGATATGGGGAATGCCATTAGGAAAGTACATTTTTAGTACCTCTGGTCATCTTAAGATATTTAAATGGAAAATAAGTGACTTCTTTATTTTCATCACCAGGAATTTAAAAGGAATTTTAAGTGATATCTATAATCCTCTTTAAAAGTTCTGTATCAAGTCTTTGGGAAGTTATATGCTAAGAAATTGCCATGTATTATGGGTACCTCTATATAAACTCACAAAAAATAATTTCTACAACCCCTTGCTTTTTTGCTAACTTCTAATCCCAGTTGTTCTGATTCCTGATTCCATTAAATTTACTTTCCTTCAATTATTTCTATGAAAAACTTCATCTCCATTTAGTTTTTCTGTGCCTTAGTTTGATTTCTAAGGGCTAGACCTGTTAAATATTTAGTAGCTGAGTGCTGCAAAGCTTGACTAGAAATGAAAAATTAAGAGTCTCTGCCATAAAATGGAATCATGAGTGATGCAGTGGGGGAAGCAGATGTTTTGGGCTGAGAAAGCCATGCCAATATATTGGTTAGAAAATTACTCAGACTAGTTGATAATGAAAGAATTATCTTAAAACTTCACCCCTTTCTAAAGTTTAGCCTCAGAGCAGTTGTTAAGATTCTTTTGTTTCTCAGATTTCAGGTTCCATTCTTCAAGTCTCTATCAAGTCCTGAAAGGACTGAAACAGGCTTTTTAATTGTAGATGAGAAGTGGTTGCCTGTTTATTCTGGGGGCTGCTCTGTGGTCAGTACTTCAGGGAGTAAGAAGCATGGGTTCAGCCTCTTATATAGCCTAGTATGATAAGGAGTGTTTGAGCCTGCTGTTCAAACCACCAGTGCAACCAGTCTAGTGCTGAAATCATTAAATTTAAGACTGACTTAAGGGACCATATTCACGTTGTCTTCTGAAATTTGTTCCCTTATGCACCTTCCCTGGGTGGGAGGAGGAAGTTAACATGACTATAGAGAATTGCGTACTACTCTGAAGACATTTTGGACAGGGAGACTTTTTCTTTTCTGTGTTCTCTAGGGTGTGTGAGTAAAAAGCTGGGAAGAGTGAAAAAAATTGGTAACTCAACAATGTATAGAACACCAAGGGAAAGTCTGGCTGATGCATATTTACCTACTGGGATCTTTATCAGGAAGCGTTTCTATCCATCTGCTCAGTAAAATGTGTGTATTTGGATTTAAATTATGTAAGAGTAGGAAGAGCAGGTGAAACCTACTTAAGGAACCTTTTTCAATATGGAAGGTGGTTTTGTACTGCAGCTATAATGATGAAAATGGTATAGAGGTTTAAGGATGGAAATTCGATGTAAAACGTGGTAGGATTTACACTGGATTTTTGTGCTTTGAATAGAGGAAGAACATTCACCAATAATGGGGTTGTTCTTAGATGACAACTAATCATAGCGATCCTACTTATCCAAGAAGATCAACAACAGTAGATATCAATAAATGAGTCATATACCTGAACATTTTTCACTTAACATCTCACATTACTGAACTAATTTTAAGGTGGCATTAAATGGAAAATATAAAGGAACTACTTTCTACTTACTGTGTTTAGAATAATTTTCTGATTCATATGAAAACAGATTGGAACAAACACATGATGTTTGAGACATCTGGGAAAGTGTTATAAACAATCTTAGGAACAAAAAGGGAAAACTGACCTATCCTAACAGATACAGAGGTGTAGGAGAGAAGGGCTAAAGACCTATTGAAGTCTGAAACATTGTATGAAGAATCTGCAATGTGAAAGGCAAGTGAAAACAACTGGAAATAAAGCAAAATGCTTAAAAGACAGGATAATTATAAAGGAACCACTTGGAAGATGTTGAAATTGAAGCTACAGTAGGAGAAAAATCATCCTGCTGCTTTTTCTCAGTTGGCTGCATGCAGTTTGATCGTGAGGTTGGAAAAGCAGTTGCAGTGTTAGGAACACTCTCCTATTAGCCTTTACCTTGTAGCATGTAGATCTCCTGATGAGAGATTTCATTTTGAAGAAATTTGTAGTTGACATGGAAAAAAAAAGTTTAAAAAAGGAATAGGAAAGATATTCAGGCTCTCAGAGTAGAAAAATCTCTAGACAAATACAATTTAAGATGTTACCCAGATAAGGCTTGAGCTCATCTTCTGATATATTCTGAGAAGAAAAATATCTCCTGGGATTAGGAAAGAATCAGAATACTCCTATCCATTGTAAGGAATTTCTTAAGTGACCATTTCTTCAAAGAAACAGGTTTTGCACCTTCCTTCAACAAGTTCATTTTTGCCCACAATTATAATGGCTGAAAGGAACTGTGTACACTAATTTTAAAACTGCAAACTTCTCATGTATCAGTCCTACTTTGAGAGTAGTCATTAACAAATGACTTGGAACATGTCATTGAATGTGACTTGTCATTTGTGTGACTGAAACTGTATTGAAGTATTAATGACCTGTGGCTGAGACCTGAAGATACCTAGGAAATGAGGCTGCATTGCTGCATCTCCCTTGTAATCTACCACAGAGATTTCTGAAATGATCTTGCCATGTTGCAGCTAGTGGTAGTTTCTTCAGCATCTTTATCATGATCCATAATTAAGAGAGAAAAATCATGCCTGAAGCATTATAGCTGTGCTGGTAAACTTGTGTGTGAACACAGTCTACACCAACAGGAATAATTATCAGTATAAACTCTGATTTTCAGTCATGAATTGTTACGGGTGGAGCCCTTGTGTTATTTTCATTATTCTCAGTGAATCTACTGCACCACCTTCTTGCCAGCTTGTACCACTTTCAGTCTCAGCCTCCTCCATGTTCCCTCTGCAGCTGTTAGGGGGAGGGAGAGCTGCTGTGCTTATTATTGTTTCTGAACAGATTTTTCTTTCTCTTTACTTTTTTTTCTCCAGCCCCATCATCCTTACCTTTTAGGGAGTACTCTTGATTAACATGAAACAAAAAATAAACTGCATTCTACCGTAGTATGTATGCTTATTGAGGTGTTCAAAGCAGTGTGTAGTTTGTAATCAGCTGTTTAAAAAATAGTTCGATTACTTCTGAAAGGAGTAAAACCTGTAGAGACTTAAACTATTGCTTTAGACCATGAGACAATTGCTTACTGTTCCCGAAGTGAAGATACAGGGTTCTGCCGTTAGAGAACAGCAGTTGCATTTCCCTTCCTTACAAAAACTGAGCTGCTCGAAAGCTTTGCTTTGCCTTTGCAGACATACTGGATAAACTTACACAAGTATTTATTTGTACTTTTTAAACCATAACAGGGGAACGCTGACAAATTGACACACTGGCAGGGAGGAGGGAAGTGATAGCCATTAGCTTCCACTGTGGCACAGCAGGAGTTACTTTAACTTGCTAGGCTCAGTCAGCTTCAGCATGGGTGTTACTTCTGCTTTCTAATATTTTCTGACATTAATGTGTAGCATTTGATTTGTTATTATGTCAACCTACATACGAGTTTGTCATATAATAGGTACTTTTTTTGTCACACGTTTTAAATGACTTGTTTAAATAGCCTTAGCAACAGATGGCTTGGTTGACAGCATGAAGTAGTTGTTGGAACTGCAAAACCCACAGTACTTGGATAACTCAACACATTTGATACTTTTATATCATACCTTTTTACTTCGATGTTTTTAAATATGTAATTACCCATTTAAAGCAACCTTGAATGTTACATTTCGGGTTTGATTGCATTTTGAAATTGTTCCTTTCTTAGTGCTGCATCAGATACATTTTAAGGTTGCTCTTTGTTAATTAGGCACCCCTTCAAGCTGTCAAACTGCTATTGTTACAAAGTATTACCACTCCCTCCACCCGCCTGATTTGTGGAGTGCAGAGTAATCGAGCATTACAAGCAGACTTGAAACAGGGTATCGCAAGATGAAGCTGAGGGGATGTGTTTCTCCCTTTGAATACCTTTCATTATCCTGTGGATAGCTGAAATTACTATCATTTTTTTATTTTTATATTACATCTCTGGCCAGTCTGTTTTCTTCAAACAGTTGTAATATAAAGTATGCATGTAAAATGCTTGCTTGAAGGCAGCTATCAGTGAATGATTCGTGTTTGGTTTTAGTGTTTCCGCATGTAACACCGAAAGGAATTAATGGCATAGACTTTAAAGGAGAAGCTATAACTTTCAAGGCAACTACTGCTGGAATCCTTGCTACACTCTCTCATTGTATTGAACTCATGGTAAAATGTGAAGAAAGCTGGCAAAAAAAGCTAGATAAGGTAAGATAATTTTCCTTTTACTTTTGTTGGGAAAAAAAAAATTCTTTAGATTAAAATTAAAATTTAAAATGTGCTGTTAACTTTTTTTATTCCAAGAATTGCTTTTATTTTATGTACAGCATTTGTTAGTTCTATGTGCTTTCATTATTACACCTATTAAACATGAAAGTCTCATCCTAACTGGTGATATAGTAACATTTATCATAGTCTGGTTTTGCAGCCCTTGTTCAGATATTGTATTTTATATCTATAGAGAACCTGATAGTATTCCATAATAATAAGTGTATTGGTTGCAGCCTTCTAAGGGATTTGTTTGTCCATGTTTGCAAAAAAAAAAGTGCAAATCTCCAAATTTTTTTAATTGTGATAAAAGGTGGTGACAATACTAAGGAGAAAAAGAGTTCTAACTTTAAATGTCTTCTTAAGATACAATTATTTCACTTTCCTTTAGGAGACTAAAGAGATTAAGTCATGTTTTATGCTGACTGGTTAAATTTTTAAAATGTGTGGTATTAGAATATCTGTTAATCTGATAGCAGTGATAGTTCATGCTAAGCCTACTCAACCACTCTAGCAACTTTAAAAGGAGCAGTGTCTTTTCTCATGGGATGTGCTGGAGGCACAGCTAGGTTGTACTTCAGGCTATAATTTCTAGAATCCTGCCGTCATTGGCCGGTGTCCTGTGCAGTCCTCTAGCTGTTGTCTTGTTTTTCATTTAACATGTTCCCATGTGGTGTTTATCACACTTCTCACTCCCTGTGTTTTAGTGGTACACTATTCAAAGAATGAGCATATTCAGACAGAACACCTCCACGTCTGAATCCTTGCCTCTGCCTCTGTGGTTGTCTTTGTCCACATGTCAAAGGTCTGACCCTGTCTAACTGTATTGAAACTTCTGTCAATACTTAGTTACTGCTTCGTCTAAGTAGTTGGAGGAATTACAGTACATCCAAGACTTGAAGCTTGTTCATAGGATCATAGGTTGGACTAGACCTTTTGAGGTCTCTTTTTCTCAAACCTTCTGCTTAAAAGGATGGTTAGAGATTAAACCAGGTTGCTTAGGGCTTTATCAAGTCTGATTTCAAGTCTTTAAGGCTGGGGACTGCACAGCTTTTCTGGGCAACCTGTTCTGCTGCTTAACTGTGGTAATAGTAAAAAAGTTTTTCCTTATATCTAGTTGGAGTATCTCTTATTCCAGTGTCTGACTGTTCTTTTCATCCCTCTCCTGCTGGCTCAGCAGTCTGTAGGAAGTCTGAAGTAAGTCTGGCTCAGTTTCTTTGACTTTGTTGAAGGTATGGGAAAGCTACTATTAGGTCCCTCCTCATAGGCTTCTCTTCTATTCTCAGGGCTGAGCAAACACAGTTCACTCATGTTGATCAGACTTTGCTTAGAATATGGATGAAGTGATTTTTTCTTGTCCCTGTATTGTTATATAATACAGAATATGTTAATAGAGAATTTTAATTAGTTTATTTGTCACTTCTTATTTTAGGAAAAAAAATGGGGAAAATCAGTTTGTTGCTGATTTGAAATAAATCTGGTTAATGTGAAACATAAACACCAAAACGGCTTTCTTTCCCCATTTCCCAAGCACAGCTTCACTCCTTCACTGCAGGTCCCTCTACCCACTGCTTTCTAGCCCCAAGAAATGTGGCGTGAGGAATGTTGGGGTTGCAGTGCATGTCTGCCACTCCTTGCTCTTCACACTTTTAGCCTCCTCCTGCGCAGGTCCTCTCCATGGGCAGCAGTCCTCTGGGGAAAATCTGCTGCAGTGTGTGTCCCATGTGGGATGTTGTTCCTTCAGGAAATTGTCCCTCTGCTTTGACCTGAGGTCCTCCATGGGCTGCAGTGTGGATATGTTTTCTGAAGGCCCTCAATCTGCTGCTCTTCCTCTGCTTCTCACTTCTGGTTCCCCCTTCCTCTCTCCCTGGGGTGTCTTTTGCAATTAAATACATCTTTCAGAGAGGTGCCACACACATGGTGAATGGCCTCAGCTGTGTGCTGCAGTGGGTCTTCTTTGGAGCTGGCTGGAACCACCTGGGTCTGACACAGAGCAGACCCCCAGCCTCCTCCCACATAGGCCACCCCTGCAGCCCCCCATGACCACCATCTTGACACCTACACCCTTAAAGACAGCAGTTGACTGTATTCAGAACTCTGGACCTCTGCTAACACTACTCCACTCCAATTGTTGAAGTGCTTTTGTTTTATTTTCATCTTCTTGTTAAAGATGGTTTTATGAGTATCTTCTGTAACTATGGGCCTGAGCAAAAAACACTGCTCTTGTCATCTGATAAATAGATGTGGGAAGAGAATGGTGTTGCTCTTTGGTGTTTTTTTGTTTGTTTGTTTTCTTGGATAGGTGTGTAAACTGCTTTGAAAAGCAAGTAAATATTTTGAAGTTATGAAGTTTAGAATACGTTCTCTCAGAGATCAGAGGGAGAAATTACTTGAAATTGGGCAGCTGGTAGTGTTTATGTTCTAGCTGGGAGAGTTTTAGAGCTCTTGTAAGTCTGTCCAGTGCTTGTAAAAGCCCATCTAGCAGAGCTGGGAGGGACAGCATCAAGCTTGTCCTTCATGTTGGCAGGCTCATGCTGCTGGCTGTGTGCTGTGCAGGTTACATGAAGAGCAGTATCTCTGTCAGTGGCTAAAACCAATCAATGGCTTTACAATGGTACCATACCACTGTATAGTGGCTTTACAGGTATTGTAAGTACAACTGTAGCTCACTCCCCACTTCTCTCTAGCCTCCTCACTCCACTAGCTTCATAACTGTCTTTTACTTAGCAGCAACATACAAAAGTGATTAGTACAAAATACACAGCCTCTGTCTTGTAGCAAGCTAGCTTAGCCTAAAGATGCAAGATAGATTGTTCTGCTGAGCTTGAAGAAAATATTCTAAAATTGTCACTCTCCTAAAAAAAAAAATCTCAAATCAAAAAAAGCTCAAGTTCAGAATTTGTTGAACCTGGAGATGACTACATTTTGACTAGAGATGACTGCAGTGTTATCAAGCAAGTATCTTTATTAACTCCATTTTATTCTGTTAAATGAGAAAAAGGGTTTCAGGTTCCATTCTGAATGAATGTTGGAAACTATTTCTAAGCCTTTGAAAACAAGAAATTATTATTATAAAAACATTTTAATTTTGAAGGATACTGCTCATATAATGCACTCAACAACTGTAATTCTAGATTTTTATATTTAGTTTTCTGTTACCAAAACAGTCATATGGCCAGCATGAAATTAAAACAAAAACATATAATGTGCTGTAAAAGTAATTGTAGTTACAGCTTTGCTTTTAACCTTTTACTCATAGCTGTTAAGATCTTGAGACTGGCTTTTTCTGGTTTTCGGCTGCAGTATGTTTTCCAGTATAAGCCTCTTGAATGTATTTTAAAATGGACTTAAAATTAATAAGAAAGTGATTTAATCTCTAGCATTTGGTCCATTGTTTTATTTGCAACAAGACCCTTGTGATAACGCTTTTCACATTGTCTTGACTACAGCAACATTTTTCTGTTCTTATTTCCTTTGGTCTTACTAATCACTATTAATGAGCAAATTATAATCTGAACATTCAATTTTACCCTACGATTAACATGTTTAGGTAGCTTATTTTGTTCACCTTTGACAACTGTAACTTAACTGTTTCATTAAAGTACACGGAATTTTAACACACCAGTGATTTTCCTGCTGTGCAGCCAAACAGTTTCCCAATTTCTGCCTTGTTGCTAAGAGAAGCTGGCAGATTTGGAGAGTTGTCTTTTGACACACGTGAATTGTCAATAATTTGCGGATTGAAGTACTGAAAATGTGGGGATTTGGGGTGAGCAGGCGGAGGAGTTGTGATTTTGTTTTTCATTTCAGCCTTCTTGTAAAACTTCTATGCTTTCTCTCAATGCCTTATATTCAAGTTCTGCTTTTATGCATCTTTAGGACTCTCAGGTTGCTTTCAAAAAATGTAAACATGCAAAATTTTGTGAAATGTGCGTGTTAGCAAGTATTGTCTTTTTGTGATGGTTACAGAAGGGAAAGCCTGTGTTCTCAGATGAAGGCAATACTGTGTTCATTTAAGTGCTGTTTTTCTCCCCTAAGAATTTTCCTGTGGAAAACTGTACTTCTTTGTTTTAGTTCGAAACTGTTGCTTTACTGTTCAAACCTGTCTTCAGAAAACAGAAAATGTGTTTCAGAATGAATGTTACCACCCAATTCCCAGTTGGTAAATCCAGCCTTTCAGTATTGCTTAAGGGTTTTCCACAGTATTTTTTGAAGTTCAAATTGGATCTCTGAGTGATTATACTCATCTGCAAGAGCTAGTGTGTGGTGCTCACCTGTAAGACTTAGCTTTCTTCCACCTGATGTGATTATGAAAGGCGACAGAGAAGCATCTTGTGTATTAAAGCTGAATCCTACAAAAATTTCAGAAGTTCATGGCTTTTTCACTCACTGAGAAGATCTGGCAGTTTGTAGAATTTGCAGAGGAAATACTAGACAATCTGATCCTGGCATTGCTACTTTTTTATTCAAAATACACAATGATATAGACATCAGTGGCTCTAGTACAGTCACACACCTATTATGGGAGAATGACGTCGAGTTAATCACTGCGTGGAGTTCACAAAATGATTCACATTGAAACCGTGCCAGCTAATTATAGATACAAATTTAACATGCTGTGACTCATGAGTATCTCATTACATTCAACAAGTTAGGTTTTTACCAATCTTACTTTTCACCCTTTGTTATCACTGCCCAAGCATCTGTGTCAAGGAGTTTTATATGAACTGCCAGATACAAAGTCAGTGAACCATTAATAGCTATTCTTAAGCTAGATACCAGTTTTTGCTTGCTGATCTAGTTTCTTTCACATGACTTAAAGAAGGTATCATCAAGATAGTTAGCTACCCAGGCATTGTATTATATATATGTATGTATATGGGTGCACATAATACGTGCATGCAAATAAATTCAGAAAATCAGCAGCTTTGCAGTTTTTACTTGAGGGGAAAAAAAAAACAACCAACAAACCAAAACTACACCAGTCAGGTAATTCCATTTACTGGCATATGTGGACTATTAGCAGTAGATTCATTCTTCCTGAATCACATTACCATATAATTTTACAGGAGTCAGAGAAGAGGAGGAGAATTGAAGAAGCATACAAAAATGCTGTAACAGAACTGAAGAAAAAGTCCCACTTTGGAGGGCCAGACTACGAGGTACAAAGTCTGCTTCTGAAATTTTTAAAGACGCTGGGACTTGTGAAGATTGGTTTGTTTCTCAAAGAGGGGTGAATGGTGTGTAAATCAAGGTGTTTGTCTTGTGCAAGTGTATTCATGCCATTTCTGATTTTCCACCTTGGAAACAGAAACTGTATGAAGAATCTCAGTATTTAATTTTTTGAGAATTAAGTCTGTCTTTACCTCAGGCCTCTATGTTCTGCTTTTGTCTAAAGCATGTTGCTCGCAGATATTCCTGCTGATTTTTTTTTGCTGTTTTTTCTTGTACACTTGAGATGGCTTTTGTGCACTAGATTTGTACTTTCTCTTTTTGATGGTTCAGCTGTATAGATGCGTAAAGCAAATATAAAACCCTGACTGCACAGGCAGTTCTCAAATCTGAAGTCTAACTTCAGCTGATTTTTAAGTTGCCAACTGAAATTTTATATTGACAAATTCAGTGATTTTTAGATTCCTTTTATCTGTTAAATTGCATCTTTCAGCAGCTTCCTCTGCAGTGAGGTAGTCAGTCAAATTCTAAGCCACGTAAACCACATTGTGAAGAATAATACAAGCTGATGCACCTGTAATGCAGTTTGCGTAATTTTTAAGAACTTGAGCCTTTCATGTACATTAATCAAACATGTTTCTATTTACAGATCATAGCTTGAGAAATAATATGTTGAGATATTTAGAAGATGCTTGAGCTTAGTTTTTCTGTTGTGACTTGAGGCATACACTGTAAAAATAAAAAAAGTAGATTCAAGGCCGGGTTGGACAGAGCCTTGGGTGAGATGGTTTAGTGTGAGGTGTCCCTGCCCATGGCAGGGGGGTTGGAACTAGATGATCTTAAGGTCCTTTCCAACTCTTAACTATTCTATGATTCTATGAAAGCTGGACTTTGGCTCCCTGTTTATGGACGCAGCTGCTTCTCCCACATATCCCCATTGTAATTTTTTGAAATATGCTGGATCGCCTTGTTTTACAGTATACTGAAAGTAGTAAACCTAATTCTCTGAAACCAAGGTTTGACTTTGTAGATCTGAATTTTTAATAATTGACTCATCTCCACCTGCTGTTTAGTGTTAAACCGTTCTTTCCAAGAATTTTCAATAGAGATCCCAGAATTTTCCTTTCTCTTGTTATGTTTTGAGCACTTCTGAAATCTGCCCTAAGGCACTGGAATTCTTGGAAGGAGTCTTAACTACACAATTATGTTAATGTGTACTTTACTGACACACAATAAATGGTTTTAAGAGAAAATACATGTTAATTAAAGAATAAATCTGCTCTCAGAGTTTATTGACACTGTTACTCAGTTTCCTGTATTTTTCTCGATACATGCTCTCTAAATTGTAGTTAGAGGAAGTAACTTCTTTTAACAAGTACGGTTTTCAGAGGAATTGTAATCTAAGAAATTGAGGTCTGTAGAAGAAATTTGCTTCCAACAGCCATATGTATAATATATAAATATGTTATTCTGATGTTAAAATGAAGTGGAACTCTCATGTCTCCAGAATTTTGAACTCGGCTTGGTTTTTATGCTCTAGGAAGGTCCTAATAGTCTGATTAATGAAGAGGAGTTCTTTGATGCTGTTGAAGCTGCTCTCGATAGACAGGATAAAATGGAAGAACAGGTATTGATACTTCAAAAATGTCTTAATGATGGGTGTTTGTGGGAGATTTCTGTGACTTAAACTCAGTCTTGGGGTGCATCTCCTGAAGTTCTAGGTATTTTATTCTGACATTGATAAGGAGAATTCACTTGGTATTTTTACACTTAAATATTGTTGCTTAACACTAATTTTGAGAAAGTGACTTCACAGCTTACAGAGACCATTGTAGGGTGTTAACTAGTTGAATGTCTGTAGTTCCTAATTCCTAAATAAGCATCCAGTATAGACTTACCTTTGTATGTAACTGATGCCCTGATTATCAAAACAGTGGAGCTGTTTCTCAAAACCTAGTTTTTGGTCCAAAGTTTCTTTTGACCCCTGCAGTATGTGAAATGGCAAAGGTGTAGTTCTGTTGTTTAGTTTTTGTTTTAAAATTCTGTAGGTTCTGGTTCCTGCTCTTAACTTATTTCTTCAATACACTTCAGTGACAAGGATCAAAAAGGGATAAGATGCATGTGAAGAAATATATAGAATATGAGAAAGTATGGCAGTATGTAAATGAGAGGGAATTACAAAGTAGTGCATCCTTTGTCTTAAAAGTGTTTAGATTTATAAATATAGTGATTACAATGACTTGGTTAAGAATTAAAAGACTTCCTAATGGATATATATGGTATATATGTGTATATATATATGTATATATACATATATATATATGTATATATGGTCTCTGAACAGACAGTGAAAGTTTTGAGTGACTGTTGTGTTAGTACTTAATGGGTCCTTAATGCTGCCAATCTATTTTCCTTAACTCTGAAGTACCCCTTGAGTACAGACAAATTCAGTCTTTACTCCCATTCACTTACTGAGAATTCCAATAGGATGATAGCTTCATGCCTGTCACCTATAGCATTAGTTGTTGTAGCCACTATGTAGGTTGAGGATGACTCACTCTGTTTCATAGTCCTTCCAGTAGCAGGTGACCACTGATAATTAAACCTATTCTGTTGCAGTCCCAAAGTGAAAAGGTTAGATTACACTGGCCAACATCCTTACCTTCTGGAGATGCATATTCTGCTGTGGGGACTCATCGATTTGTTCAAATGGTAAGGTATTTCTTATGATCTCCTGAATGATGGGCTAACCTATGATATTTCTATATAATATCTTATATGGGTAGGTGAGTTGTTTTTTTTTTTTTTTTTAAAGTGTTTCTAGTAACTGCCAGTGGTTTACTCATTTTTCAAATGGAGTAGCCAGAATTGGAGAACGACTGTTTTCTGTCTTGGCTCAAAGAAACACTGATTTGAGTATTTAGAATACTTTTGACTTGTATCAAGCTTGTCAGTTAGATAATAAATGAAACAATCTCAACTTGTTAACCTCAGTACTTTCAAGATACCTTTACCAAAACTCACTGAACTGATTTTGTGAAAGAAAAAAAAAATCCAGTTGCTTTTTTTCTAGTGTTACTGGAAACACTATGCTCCTCTCAGGGCTACACTGGGAGCATAATGCATAATAGGTGCATGAAATCAGCATTTGCTGCTGTGCTTGCTGCTTTTGTTTTCCTTTTCTTCATTATCTTGTGCTTGCAAGTTGGTACTGAATGCTCTGTTGTGCCTTTGTTCTGATTACTTGGTTTTTTCTTTGTCTGTCTCTGGTAGCCCTATAGTCGCTCTTCCTCCATGTCTTCCATTGATCTAGTCAGTGCCTCTGATGATGTTCACAGATTCAGCGCCCAGGTACTGTATTAATATGTCGAGTGGGGGTTGCATATCTCTGCGGTATTTCATCCGCTTCTCTAGAACCTGGGTTTTTTTGTTACATAAATCACTGCTCGCTTTAAACTAGTATGCTGAGACAAACAAAGGAATTCTCTATTCCTGTACTAAATGGTTGTCCTTTTACATCCAGCTTGCATGCATATCAACTTGTGCAGTGGCCCCAATCTTGTGAAACCGTTGGATTTAATTAGATAGCTTTAAAAATGCCTTCAACTTGAAAATTTTGCATTTCTGATTATAATAGTAGAATATAACCTGTTTTGTGTGGGATGGAGATGGTCTTTGCTACAAGCTGAATAGTTTTTCTTGCTTTTAAATCAAAGGTTTAATTTTGTATTTAACTTTTGTTTGTAATTACATAAATGTACTAAATGTTAAGGCTCACTGACCATTTTTTTTTACTTCTCCAACTAGTTTTATTACTGAAAGCTCATAAAGTATGTTGATAAACAAGATTATGGATATAAGAATTTTTACTGAAGAGTTTCAGTATATTTACTCCCCATTCTGAAAATGAGTCTGACATCCTGAATGTGTCAGTGTAGTCATAGAGACATATTCCAATAATACACAAAATTACTTTAGGTGCTTTCTCTGAAGGTTGTAGTTCAGAGTAGAATTAGGTAGGTGAGGTCATATGGTTGCATTTAGTCTCAAAAAAAAAAAAGTTTTTCAGACATGGCATTCATGCCATTAGTTTTTTTCCTGCTGTGTTCTGTATGTGATTGTGAACATGGAACTTCCTTCTGGGATCTGTTATTTTGGACTGTTTTAGAAATTATTAACCAATGCAGCAAACAACCTGCTTTTTCAAATAGGAGTGGATTTTCTTTTATTTAACAGAGTATGGAATTATACAACTTGCAGACTGTACTACCTGCTTTATGAGCAGGACCCTATCACTTAAGGACTTGCTTATTGGACTGAAATCCCAATACTTGCATTAACCATTTGCAGTCAGTTAATATCTGAAATTTAACTTATTGCAAGGGAAAAAAATCGGAGGTCATGTAGCACAACACTGATAGGCTCCTCTACCAGTACTCCAGTAGTCAAGTTAGTTTTTCAGGTTTCTTTTTGTTCTGGGGAAAGGGAGGAAATCAAGTAAGAGAAAGCAAGTTTGGTTGTCTGTCAGGCTGTGAACACAATGGCAGTTCAGTATCAGGGAAACTCCCAGCTCCTAAAGCATGCAGGCCTCCTCATTTTCATCTTTTATGCCTGTGACAACATTTGTACATTCAGACCTCAGTTCCAGAGCACTAGTGTGCCTGAGAGCCTAGCGATTTAAAAACAAATCTTAGGTGGATCAGGTCCTTATCACAATAATGAAAAGAGAGTTTAAGAATCAGGATCAAATAGACTGAAGTCAAGTTGTTGCTCTTTTCAGCTGCTGCATGGATTATACTACATAGAAGTTACTACTGAGTGCCTTCAAATGCAGTTTCAAGTTAATGGGCTTACTGCAGAAAGGATGATCGTCTTAACTTATAGGAAGCTACTCTCCCACAGCCCACCACCCCAGATATTTTCCCTGGAACAAATTTTTCCCACATCAACAAGTCAGTCCACCTACTCTGAGTTTCATTGCTACTGAATAAGGAGGTAACATAGCATGAAGAGAAAAGCAGCACACATTCTTTTGGTGGCAATGTGCCCTGGGCCTTATTAATATGAAATTGACCTCTGTCCCCAGGCCAAATATTTGGCTTTTGGAAAAGCAAATTAATATTGTGATTCTGAATAAATGTGACTTGTTTCTAGACTTCATTCATATGAAGAGGATTTTGAAATTAGTAAAAGGTCAAGTAGAAACTTGCAGCGTCTTTTTTAAGATTGAGAGGTATAAATCGTATTCTGATTGGAGCTGCTTCTTCCATGTGCCTCTATAAAGGCATTAATTTGTCTTTGCCAGTTGACTAGTAGATCAGATCGCTTTCTTTTAAAGTGCAGTTTTATTTTTAAAGTGTATATCACTTTCTGTTAAAGAACTATCCCATTTTAAAATAGATTGAGCTGTTCCGAGAGCCTTTAAAGTGAAGAATGTCCCACCTAGTGTTCAGGCCTAGACTGCATGGCATACAGGTTACCAGTATTTTTAGAGACCGTTGCTGTAGCCTGCCAGGAACCCAGAGGTAATAATTTGGCCTCTTCAACAGGAAAGGAGCTGTGAATCTTGACTCTGTGCCTCTGAAATAGGTGCAGGTTGACAGATAGCAATCAGTGTGTAGATTAGTGGAATTGGGGCAGGTAATATGCAAATGGCAGTTGTAGGTACTCCCTTAGTGAAGCAGAAGTAAGAAACTGTTTAGATTGCACTACTACGGGTGCCTTCTTCTCTTCTTACCTTGCTCTTCTCATCCCTCTGATTTTAGCATAAGGCAAAAAGCAGCAAAGGACAAAACAAGCCTACAAAATCTAGCTTTGTCCTTAACAGATTAGGAACTAGGAGAGAAGAGACATAGGGACGTGAAGGTGTTGCAGGTAAAGGTTGGGACCACGGCGAGGATTCCTTTCTGAAAGTATGATCTAGAGCTAATAAATGGAATATTTAAATAACCCACGTTCTTACCTGGTTTGTATTGTACTGTCATTGTTTCATGGGGTTAAGGGAAGAATCTTCTGTAGGAAACCTGCTAGAAATTAGTAGGAAAAAAAATGGCCTCTGTAAAAGCATAAACACAAATTGTGTGGATGGTTTTAGTTCATATTAATTCCAAACCAAAAATGCAAAGACACCCCCCTGAACTGGACTAGTAACATTTCCTTCTTTTCCTTCCTAGTTTTCAGTGTGCTGCCCATGGAGTACGTAGTACAAGAAAAATTACTTGCTTTAAATTAAATAACACATGTAAACTCTGTATCATGTCAGATAAAGATGATTAAGTATTCTTTAGTTTTGCTTTCTACTTGTACTACTTGCTTAAATATGTTTTATATATTATAGGTACACTAGGCTTTTTTTTTTTTTTTCAGTTGTGCCAAGCCATTTATGAGTTCAGACTGTCAATCTTGTGATTGTGCACTTCTTAAGCTAACCTTTGTGTTGGTCAGTTAACTAACCTTTGCTTGTAGTGCTTTTGTTTTAGGAGAAAAACCACCCTGTTTCTAGTAATTCAGGAAAATAATGTCAATCACATGGACTTACTTGCTGTGACAAGTTTTAGTAGTCACCTGCTTTTTGGGTGGAAAAAAGTTATTGAAGTGTTTCCAGTACTTGTAAACATGATAACGGATTCTTTTTATTTTTGCTGTTATTTTTAGTTGCAGGTGAGTGGGATTTGGAAAGGAATGGAGAGCCAAAGAAACAGAATAAGTTTGTATATTTTAAATAAAAATCTGTTTCCTGTGCCAGCACTCATTTTCATGCACATTCCATGAAATTAAAAAAAAAAATGAGGTATTTGCAGACATAGCAGCCTTCCAGTACCTAAAGGGGCCTACAAGAAATCTGGAGAGGAACTTTTTACAAGGGCATGTAGTGACAGGAGAAGGGGAATGCCTTTAAACTGAAAGAGGATAGTCTTAAATTAGATATTAGGAAGAAATTCTTACCTGTGAGGGTGGTGAGACACTGGCACAGGTCACCCAGAGAGGCTGTGGCTGCCCTGTCCCTGTGTGTTAAAGACTAGGTTGGACAGGGCTTTGAGCAACTTGGTCTGGTAGAAAGGTGTCCCTGCCCATAGCAGGAGTTTGGAACTAGGTCTTTTCTAACCCAAACCTTTCTGTGATTGGTAAAGATGTACCAAATTTTTGGCCTTTATGAAAAGTACACACAAGTCTAGATAAATAATTCTTAAATTAGTATTTTATAAGAATTGAATCTCTGAACAAATCCTTTGAATGTAAGCATTTGGGTTCTTTCTTCTAGCAGGCAACTGTGCGAAAAATGTCAAACAGAATAGGCAAGCTTTGCTCATGACTGTTTCATTCAATGCTATTCCAATATGAGGTTTGATATTCACTCGTTTAGAGCTTGTCTTTCTCCCTCATCCTCCCAACCTTTGTTAAGCTTTTCAAATGCTCTTCAGTTAATATCTTACAGTATATTGTAATTCTTTGTAGAGATACCTGAAGTAAGTTCCTGTATGCTGAAATAAAACTGTCTTAGGTAGAAATAGTGAGTTAGACAGTTTATAGAGGTGCAAAGAAAGCATAGGAAGTACCTGAAAAGGATGAAGGTGGAAGTTGAATCACAGTTTTTGATTCTTTTTTCTGAAGGCTGGAGGTATCTGCTTGCTCTTAACCTGTAATAGAAAGCTCTGTTGTCCAAATTCAGCTCCTGCACAGGGTTTGAAGTACTGACTTCTGGCTTCAAGTACTGTACAGTCTCTGCCCAAGAATATGGAAGGAATGAGTTAATGTGTTTTTTTGATGTTTTTTTTCTCCTTTAAAGGTGGAAGAGATGGTACAAAACCACATGACATATTCCTTGCAAGATGTAGGAGGAGATGCCAATTGGCAACTAGTGGTAGAAGAAGGAGAAATGAAGGTAAACATTTGGAATTTGCTTAATTGATATAAGATGATACACTGTGAAGACAAATACTTTCAGTCTGATGGACTTGACAGTGTTAGGTTTATGTTTGGACTTAATGGTCATAAGGATCTTTTCCAACCTGCATGATTCTATGATTTTCTGGGAATACTATCAGCAAGTTATGCTTTTAAAGCTTCTGAGAATAGGATTAAGTCAAGACTGGAGTCCACAAGAGTTGTGGCTTCTACTATATTTATTCATACAAAATTGTGTGTAACTCTTCATCTTTGCAGATTCCTTTCTCATTATTTCCTACTTAAAATTTGGTATCGTGTAAATTTGACGTCTGAAAATGTTAGAGTAGCAAGTTACTGTGTTGGCTGCTGTACTCTGCTTGCATGGATTCTTGTGCATAGTGATAATTAAGGTAGCTTAATCATTCTTGGAGTAGAGATTCTTAAAATACTTACGTGAATTGCCATGAAAGGATGTCTGCAGTGGTACTTAACCAGAGAACAGTGACATGGCAAATTATTCATGTGTTGGTCTTATAGGTAAGTGGGTGGTTTGATGTTTTTGGTTGTGTTGTTTTGGGATTTTTTTAATGTTATTTTTAAAAAATTCAAGCATGATCAGTTTAGATAATTTCTGTTCTGCTTTTCTTTTTTTGTATTTGGTATAGGTGTACAGAAGAGAGGTGGAAGAGAATGGAATAGTTTTAGATCCTTTGAAAGCAACCCATGCTGTTAAAGGGGTAACAGGGCATGAAGTCTGCCACTACTTCTGGAATGTTGATGTTCGTAATGACTGGGAAAGTAAGGAATTGGTTCTTAAGATTTGTGTGTTTATTGGTAAGGACGTTGTCTATAACACTGACCTAATGTGTATGCTTGATTTCTCTCTCCTCCCCCTCCTTTTTTCAGCAACAATTGAAAATTTCCATGTTGTGGAAAATTTAGCTGATAATGCTATCATCATTTACCAGACACATAAGGTAATAACACTTAAGTGTTTAAGTCTAATCTTATTCTGAATATTTTAATGGCTTAACGATTTAAATACTGTTCAGAACAACATTTCAGAGCAAGTTCTTTATTAAACTGCAGCTTTGTCAGATAGCATAACTGGTTGTGCTTGTGTCCGATAGAGCTTGTAATAACAAATGAGGACTGTTTTTAATCTCTAAATGTATCTCTGCCAGTAAGGCAGAAGCCTTCTAAAGGAAATGGGAAATGGAAACAATTAATGAACACTGACCTACAAAGAAGAAACTTACAGCATTATATGGTATGCTTTTTTTTACAATAACATAAGCTATTGTTGCCCACAATTAGTTGGCATACATATTTGCATTACGAGGTGTTATAATTGATGGTACAGGATTTGTCGCATGTGTGCTCACCTCCCACCAGTCCTAAAATGTTCATTTGAATTATAATGCAACAACTATAGCTTAAATATTTTTAAAAATGTTCCAAAAATGTTCAGAATAATTTTAACCATGCATGCTTCCAGTATAAAACCAAATATAATATTTTTCTTTGCAAATTTTACCAATAATGTGGTAAAAAAAAAGTTTACCTTAAAACTTTTTTTGTGATTTTTGAGACAGTTGTGTAAACTATACAGTGCTGTTAAAACTAGATTTTTTTCCCATATTGTCAGGAAAATGGCTTCTGTATATTTTCTTATCAGAGTTTTTTGTTTCTGAAACCTTTTTCTCTTAGATAGTATGAGTTTACCATGTGTCTTACTGAAGTATTACCTTTTAGAAATAATATGTGTTTTAGATAGGTCTCTCCTTTCTGTCTCTGGAGAGTAACTGGAGATGCATCTGTTCAGTTTGTACCTTAGAAGTATTCGCTTAAACTGTAAGCCTGACATTGAGGGAACAGAAGAGCTGCCTCTTCCTGTTTGTCTACTGAAAAAGTCATTCCAGATTGGTTCTCTGCATTTCAAAGGCCTTGAATTTTTGCTTCTTCATTTCATTTAAAAAAAGTCAGATAATCTGATATGCATCTGTATAACAGCTATGTTCTGTTTCAGTACAAACTTGAAGAAACTTAAATAACATGACTGACCTGTTTTGCCTCGCTTGCTTTTAACTTTATGCAAGGGTAGCAAGTACTTAATTTGCAAAACTGAAAAAGCTTATATTCAGGTGTTTCTCTGCAGAGAGTGTGGCCAGCTTCTCAAAGGGATGTGCTGTATTTGTCTGCCATCAGAAAGATACCAGCATTCAGTGAAAATGATCCTGAAACCTGGATTGTGTGCAATTTCTCTGTAGAACATGATAGCGCTCCTGTAAGTATTTATTTTCATTCTATCAAGGTCTACTTTTATGGTAACATTTTCTGTTATTTGGTGATGCATGTGCAGTACTTGGGAGGGAAGGGTTGGATATGCAGAAATTCAGTTTATTTAAACAATGACCTTATGAAAGCATTCTGAGACAAAAGCTTTATTGCCTTATCTCAAGAGTTGGCAGATCTAAGGTGCTGCAGCAGAATGGAAGCAAAATTTCTGCAGATGTGAAAACATTTTAAAGATTTGAGGTTATATTGTATGTATTCAAATCAATAACTCTTCCATATTGTCAGATACAGGAGTAGGCTTGTATAATTGTAATATGGGATCTGTTAAACCTCCATCTTAGACAAATCTGCCTTTTAGTTCTGTCGGATAGTAGCAGTGATTGGTTTTTTTTTGGAATATTTCTGTGCTGATTGCTATGTCACAGCCTGCTTACAAGGGAAAAGGTACTAACCAATATTTGTGAATACTAGAACATTATTCTTTAAATGTTTCTTTACTCATTTGTCAGAATAATTGAAGTAATTCACTTGTAATATGTATTAAGCAAACAGAAACCTGAGATTCAGGCAATTTGGTTTAGCCCTTTCCCTATTTACCATGTACCTTTCATTTTGCTCACATTCATGTTACATCCATTGTAGTGCTGGAATGCAAACTCTTGGAAACACAGCTTCTGGAGTGTCTTAGCCTTTACAGTAAATTAAAATCTTAGCAGTCAAGTACACTGAAACAAATTGAATTTGAAGCTTACAAATGTGGGTTTTTCTTGTTTTGTTTTGTTTCTGGCAGCTGAATAATCGCTGTGTCCGTGCCAAAATAAATATTGCTATGATTTGTCAGACATTAGTAAGCCCACCAGAGGGGAACAAGGAAATAAGCAGGGACAACATCCTATGCAAGATTACATATGTAGCTAATGGTAAGTCTAACGTTTTTCAGTATTACATGCATGATAGATGCTAATTCTGGGAAGCTGAATACTGGCAAAAAAGTTTGATTAAGTTTTCTGTTAAATTTATATATAGCATCACCCTTTTGGTCTTCATGTTCAGAAAGACTTGAATTAATGTGCTACATGAATCAGTGAATGGGATCATTCATTGTGTAGCATTCTAGGAGGAATAAATGGAAGTTGTGTAACCTAGTCCTAAGTACAGAACCTTGGGTGGAGGAGGGTGGGCAGAAGCGTCTGCAACTGGGATGACTTTGGCATAGCTTTTAGTTTCAGTAATAGTATGTTTTTTTTCATGTATTGCTATATCCTCTTGATCCATCTTGCCAGGCTGAAAAGCTGCTGATAGCAAACATTTCTTACCCTTCATGTTAAGAAGGAGCAAATACATTTTGCATAAGGATGTTTGCAAGCTGCTGCTGTGGTTTAAGCCCAGCCGGTAACTCAGCACCACACTGAGTAAGCTGCCTCACTCACTGCTCCCCTTATTCTCCCCCACTCCTGGTGGGATGGGGAGGAGAATTGGAAGAATGTAAAACTCCACAGGTTGACATAAAGTCCAGTAACCAAAGTATATTACAAAACTACTACTACTATCACTAATAATGATAAGAGAAATAACAAGGGGAGAGAATATAAAACTAAAAAGGGGAAAAGAAACCAACAATAAACACAAGTGATGCACAATACAATTGCTCACCACCTGCTGACTGACAGATACCCAGACCTGAGCAGTGATCTGGACCTTCTGGGTGATTCCCCCCCAAGTCATATTCTGGGCATGATGTGCTGTGGTATGGAATATCAGGTGTTCTGATCTTCTCAATCCCAGCTTCTTGTGCCCCTCCTCACTGGCAGAGTATGGGAGACTGAGAAGTTACTCATCAGAGTAAGCATTACTTAGCAACAACTAAAACATTAGTGTGCTATGAGCATTGTTCTCAGACTAAAGCCAGAACACAGCACTGCACCAGCTAATAGGAAGGAGAAAAAATAACTGCTACAGCTGAATCCAGGACAGCTGTATAGTCTACTTTTTTAACTGATAGAATCCTTAGTATTGACTGAAAATTTGTCCAAGCCAAACTGTATTGTTACTGTACCCAGTATTTAGCAGTGTATTGTAGTACTGGAGCTACATACTTGTTAGCTGCTTTCCTGCAGCTATAAGACACTTTAAGAGTAGATCACATACTACTTTTAATCACCTATTACATGGCATGCTAAGGAATCAGTGCCTGAAAAATTGGTTTAATAAATCTTTGCCATATAGGAGTGATGTAGTTCATAGTAAATCCTGTACAAATACTATATGGTTTTAAACCCTTGGGTAAACTGGGGTGGGGTTTTTTGTCCTATTTAGAAGTTTCCTAATTACTTTAAAAAAATCATATTAACTGATAAATTCTAAACTGTGATTATATGGAAAGTGACAGCTTTTTCAGCAAAATACTTGCCCTATGATTTGAAGCATATTTTAGAATCAGTTTTTTTGTTTGAAGTGCTTTAAAAATAATTTGTAAGACATTGGCTATGTAGCAGTTCTGCAGACAAATTCAGCAGTTATTGAAAAATCAAGGCTGACTTCCATTTTCTTTGAAATAAGAAGTAACTTGAATCTCTTGTTCTCCGTTTCCAAGAAATAGAAAATCATCTTCCATTTGGGCATTCCCCAAAGACTCACAACGCATAATGTTTAATGTTTTCTGAATAGTGGCATCATAGTCTTAATATTAACAGTAGAAACTGCTACAATACAAGCTTTAAGGGCACAAAAGAAAAGTGTGCTGATCATTCTTCTTTCCTGTTACTACTTCAGAAAGCGTTGCAGGAATAATGAACTTCAATTTTCTTTTCTAGCCTTTAGCAGATTTTCTGTATTTCAGTGTCTGTTTTCCTATCTGCTTCTAGTGAATCCAGGAGGATGGGCGCCAGCATCAGTTTTACGGGCAGTGGCAAAACGGGAATATCCAAAATTCTTGAAGCGTTTTACATCCTATGTGCAGGAGAAAACAGCAGGAAAGCCTATCTTATTCTAGTTTTAGCAGGTATACATTCCTTTCCATCATTCTTGAGTCACTGTTGTAAATTTAAGGCCAAACAGAAGTATGCAATCTAGAAATGTCTTGTCATGACTAGCATGAATTCAGTGCTTAGTTTTAATATATGCGTGAAATACATGCCTACCTGATCTAGCTGAAGATGTCCCTGCTCATTGCAGGGGTGTTCAACTAGTTGACCTTTGAAGGTCCCTTCCAATCCAAACTATTACATGATTCTGTAATTCTATTTTTTTTAAACATTCATGTAACTCATGTATTATTAGCATAGAAAATAAGGGCTGCACAAGCTATCAAGTATTAGTTTTTGTAGACTTTACTATTTATCTTACTAGTTTTTGTATACATGTCCAATTTATGTAGAAGTATAATGAATATTTTTTCTCAGCTATCACAGACAATTTACAGTTCTGAAAAGAATATTTTGAAGTTTCTCTAGAGCCTTATGAGGTTTCAATATCTTAAATTTACTTTAAAATGTATATTTGATAGAATATTATGAAGGTCAAGGTATTCTTTTATACTGACAGAATAATTTTGATCTAGGATTTTTATTAATGGAATTTGACTGACAGACCAGTGTTGATTACTGGAGTATTTAAAAGGTTATGACTCAAATTTTTAGCCTTTCTGATGAGCCTAAGAAAGAAAAAGGATTTACAGATACTTTTAGTCAGTGGATGTATTTTAATGGTATAGGTGATTGAGCTAATCTAAAATGATTTTCACGTTTAAACGTAATATGACATTAGAAGAGGATTTCTTGATCACTTCAGGGTCTGTCTCAACCTGTCAGACACAAGCCTTAGTGCTAAGTATGGCTTTGCTTAATTTTTGTTAGTGTAGACTCTTAATGAAGTATGTATCGTGTTATTACTGTAGTGTTAAACCAATCAAATTCCATTTGGTTGTTCTGATATTACAGCATGATCTGAAAATGAGTTTTTATCTCTTTTTTTCAATGCATGACACAGGGCACCTCTATTTTTGGTTCTATTTGTTATGTCAGATTCCAAAAGCCTTAGTCATCAGATTACTTCTGTAACAGGTTGCCCTGGAATGATTGATGTTTTCAATTGTATATTGTTAGAGAACTACTGTAGGTGAACCTTTAAAAATGCATGTTGTTATGAGCCAACAGTTCAAACATGATCGTAGCGGTGTTAACGCTATTTAAGATGTTTAACAAGTTCTTGCTTTCCAATTAGCATTCAAGTGTTTCAGTGCTGTGTTTTTACCTTTGCTTACCTGCAGCAATTGGAACAAGACTGAGTGAGCATTCCGTGTTGGAGAAGTGACCATACATAGAGCACTCCATGCTGGAAGGAAGGATCTACAGTCTTTTTATGGCCCAAGTTCTAGGCTTTATATACTGAAGTGAAGAAGGTGTTGCAGCACCACGAAGCTGAATATTTAACACTAGCTTTCTCCTGCTAACTTTTCTTGCTGAATCAGTGTGCAATTATAAATACATGTATTGATAACATGTATATGGCTCTACTTTGATTTGCTTGCTTTAAAAGAGGAAGAATGCATACAGCTTTGAATCTCCAATGTTACTGCTTTAATTTTAAACAAGTTGCAGAATTTCACTGTCAGCCTTCCTAAGATACTCACACAGTTTTTGTGCATGTCTAAAAAGCACAAAAGGCAAATGCACATATAGCATACTGTATGTGGTGTTTCTGGGGGGAGGGAGGGACTTCAGTAAGGCCTAGGTGACTTATTGATAGGTTTTGTTTTGCTTTGTATAATCACATTTCATTGCTGCTGGTTTCTATACTGAATCACCTTGTCACATAAAATGTCAGTTAATAACTGAGGGCTGTCAATATCCTTACGACTTTGCCTTTTCTATTGTCTTACTCTTATGACGATCTTTGGTTCTGAAGGAGTAAGAGTGTGAAAAGCTTTATTTTTTTTCAAGATATCTTTATATTTCTATTGTATTTTTTAGTTATATAATATGTGCTACAGAATTTTTGTTATTAAACACAATCCAGAAATATCTAGGAAGATTCCCTGTGAAATAGCAAGAGACTTGCCTGAGAGCTAGAAGCCATCTGTCCATGATGTATGTGGACTGCTTTCTTGCATGATACCCAGGGCTTTCCTGAAGCTGTGAGAAGGTACACTATGATATTTATTGAAGTAATTTGGACTACATAGGACAATATTACCAGACTAGAATGAGGATGAGTACATTATTTTCAGATCCTGCATATGTTTTCCTCATAATAATAAAGCCATGCTTTGAGGTTCATGTAGAAAATTATTTCCCTCTTGATCGAAACCCATCAGAGCTATAAGGATGCACAGTTCTTATCAGAAAGTTCCCTTTAGCTGCTGTGAGAATTTAAATGTCATATATTTGCCTGCCTTTGATTCTGGAGATACACTTACTAGGAGAGGACTATGGCAGACTCATACTGACTTTGAGGTCTCTCATCTGTGTCCAATAGTTGGAAACTCTTCAGAGACCGCTTGGCATTTCACTAACCTGTGTATCTTGAGAAAAAAGGTTTTTTTTTCCTGGAAGAAAGCTGAAAGTCTTATTTCAAATAATATGGTAGGTGCCTGAAAATATATATAATATAGTAACTTCAGATTTGGAAAAGATTTAAGTGTGATCTGCACAGTGTTGAAAAACTTTGCTCATTTTCTCTGTAGAGAGGAAATCGTATATAACACGATTACACATGCATGCAGATTTCATGCTCCATAACTCTTCCCTTTTTATTTGCCTTTCTCTAATGGTGTGCATGGAATATGCCTTATTACAGAGTTACTCTGTTGATTTGAATATGTAGAAAAGTGCCTATATGGTAATGCTGGTAAGGCAAATAAGATGAACATTTGTGCAAGTTTACTATATCATCAGTGAGCATTTTATATGGAGATGTAAAAAAAAAAAAAATCTTATACCTCAAATGTACTTCATCTTTTTACAATCAACTAAGCAATGGTACATTCCACCACAGCCACTGATGGGAACTTTAAAAAAAAAAAAAAAATCAAAAATACAGAGTTTAAGTCCTGATTTGCCATTTCTGGTAATTGTTGGAACATGGGATGGGCAAGTTACTAATTTAATTGGATAGCTTTATTTTACAAAGGTATGGAAAGTTTACAAAGCAGTATATAAACCTATATCATTAGTTGCATTTGCACTAAATGTGATGTACTTTTGCGATATATTCTGTAAATAAAATTACACTGCAGATACTATTTGTAAAGAATACATTTTAATTTTAGATAAAGGCACTGGTACTTCACTACAGCTAGCCCTGCCCAGTCAGTTCTAAGAGGCTTCTCAAAGGTTAGGGAAGGAGTTGCAAGACTGAGAAATTGGTATTGACTGCTTTACAAACCAAATTTAAAAAATGCCGTTGTCTGTAGGCCTCTCAGATTGTCTGTGTGTGAGTAGCCATTAGATGCTTTATTCTGAAGGGGATCTTGCTTTCATCATTTTGTAAATTTGCACAGTCTCTTGAGCCCATCCATCTCTCTCTTCAGTCACTGCCACATATCTATGCACTATTGAGTATACTTCTTCCTGTTAGTGGATGGGTAGTTTTCATACAGCTGTGGCGATCTTTGCAGAGGCAGCTCCCGACTCTGGGATGGATGAATTTTATAAACTGAACCAGTTTGAAGGGTTGGGAACACCGTAATCTTTTCTCTATCAGATCTCATTCTCTGAATACCTCTGTCCATTCAGAGAATTTGGATGTTACCTGATTAGATATGAAGGAAATAATCTGATATAACTTGTTTTGGGGATGAGGATGAGATGGCCGTTGTCATCTTGTCTGAGAATCTGGATATACTATTTTGACAAATTTGTCTGTGAAAAACATGATGCACTTTGGAAAAAAAATAATTACAGTTTACTTAATTGGGCTGAGCTGGCTTACCTGAAGTTGTGCAGATTCTCTTTAATCAGATTGTCCACCTGTATTTTTGTCAAGTTGTACAGATAACGCTGTATTTGAATTGCCACTGTTCATCTACAGATTTAAAACATGAATCATATTTTTGAGTACCTTGAGTGTGTAGAGTGTTACTGTTCTATAATAGCTTTATGATCCTAATGGTAAGTTTTAAAAATTAAAAGAAGTTGGCTCTTCCATGTTACAATCAAATTTAAAACCAGTATTTAAAAGTGAAAAGTATTAAAAATTATGAAGAAAAATCCTGGTTTGTAGTTATTTTTAACTTCCAGTGCTTTGGAGAGACTGCTGTGAAACACTGTTTACCTTTTAACTTCTAGATAATGGTAGAGTTACATACAATATTATAATGTATGGAAAACATTTAACAGGAAAGCAGTTTACTTGTATTACTGATGTTACCAAGATGAAAACTTGAATGCCACCTTAGTTTATATATTAAAAAGCTTATTTTCTGCTAGCATGAGAAGCATGTTAAAAGATACTCCTGTACAGTATAGTCTTAATATAGAGCACTTCCAAAGTATTTCAGCTGTTGTCTTTGTACAGAATTAACAACATTATGGAAGTTTCCATGGGAAGAATGGAGATCCAGAACTGAGGAGTGCCAGAGGATACATGTGTGGCTTTCTTCAAAGTATAAAGGTTTTTTAAGAATAGAGATGAGCTTCTGTAGAGCAAGCTTGCTTAATAGAAGAAATACCTGGCGCCTAAGGGATCAATAACTATCCTAGCTTTATTTGTTATGCAGGGATATCTACTTGTTACATAGTGATCAATAAAGTTGTAAATACCTTACAAGTATTTAAGACAGGAGGAACAGTTTGAAATAACAGAAGGCAGTAGCCGCACAGAAAGTGCAACTTAAGGTCAGCTGCATCAGGCCTTGGGTAACACATTGCTGCAAACACAGAATCCTAAGGTAAGGCCTGCCCCTGAAGAATGCAGCTATTTTAGCTGTGAAAAGGAAATTAATAAAAAAAGATTAACATAAGTCACATTCTTGGTCCCATAAGCTGTGCATATAACTCAAAAATTAGACTTTCCAGCAAGAAGGGGTTGAGCATTTCGAAGCCGGCTCTGTGCACACCATAGATACAATGAATGATAATTACTTAGGGTTATGCCATGTAACTTACCAGTGTATATTACTAATAGCATTGCTATTATCTTTAGTCTCCAGCTATAAAATCTAAGCTTTTTGCCTGTCCCACATTGGCCTTTTTAGTCATCAGTGTGCTTGTAGTAAGCGTTGGTAAAGCCCTTCCCAAATCTTCGTTCACAAAGTCAAGCCATGATGATGATGAAGCTTCATAGCAGAAGAAAAGTATTTCTTAGATAAAAGAAAGGGATATATTTTGAGCATTAGCTACCAGAAGGTGTCCATGTTTCCTCATGTCTTTATATGTGCAGGTACCTACCCTCTGAAAAGCTGGCAGGCAATGTTCAACCTTTCTGATCAATTGGACATGTTTCTGAAATTTCTTGTCATGAGAGACAAGCACCAGCTCATGGAAGTCTGTGGCAAGCAACTCCTAACCAGTGTTACAGCAGCAGGGTGTGACAACACCCCTGAGGATTTCCCCCTGCCATGGTGGGACTGCAACTGAGTCCCAAAGCAACCTGGCACATTCAGGTCCTCAGTACCCTGGGAAATTGTGCCCTTCACGGTATGATGAAGAATTCAAACTTGGAGGCCTGGGACAGTGCACTCGCTGTCTGATGAGGGTGAGTAACACCTGAGTATAAACAAAGGAATTACAGGTGTGTACATCCAGCCTAGGTCACAAGTACTCACACAGGTTGGTCACCTCACTGCTTGTACCCTGCTGAAAATCATCACTACATATTCAACACAATGGTGTTCTCCAGCCAGTGCTTGAGCACTCACCTGTACCCATGCCCTGTATGCAGAGCCTGCATCAGTGGAACACCTGAGACACTGCACCTGGGAAGCCCCAACACATGTTATCTTGTCGCAGCTTATCTTGTCCAAACTGCAGTGTTGAAAATCTAGCTGTGAAAAGGCTTTTTTTGAACTTTTGGAGGGAGTGGTCTTTGCCTTCAGTTGTTAAATAGGGAAGTTGTGTTATGCTAAAGGGTGGCAGTGTCTCCAATAGGCTGGTACATTTTAGTAATGCGTGGAATGGTTGCCTTCTGTGAAGAACTTGAGAAATTCAAGTGGACTTCTTTGTTGCTTTCCACAAGCTTTTATTTTTCTTTTGTTTCAGCTGCATTTGAAAACTCTGGAACCTAATTCATGTATCATTAAAATACAGGGAGGGTAACCAACCAACCTAATATGAACAGAGGTGTGCTAAACAAAATCATTACTAGTTCAATTCAGTTAGCAACTCTGTAATGCTCTTGTTTAATGTGCCAATTTTCAACATGCCTGTCAGGTGTGAGAAGTCTGATATTAAAAAGTACAGGTAATTTACTGCCTTCTCATTAACTAAGGCTGCAATACCAACTTCAGTGAAAAAGACTGAAGTGCTAAAAGATTTGAAAACCTCTAGCAATTGTAATATTGCTAAATCGTTTTCTAATTCTAATACTGGTTGTATCAGAAACAGTTTCACTATCATTTATCTTGTGTCCTAGCTGTTCATGTTACACATGCTATTTTCTTTACTATCCTGTTGTGAACAGGTCTACACTTGCTCTTTGATACTGTGTAGGTTCCTGGGCTTCTGCTTGCATTAAACACCTACTGCACTAAGGGATACTAACTTTATGTATTACTTGAATGAAAAACTTTGCATGACCAGGCAAGATACATAAATGGTCCTTCAAAATAAAAATCAAAACAACTTAAAAAGCAGCACCAGGATGTGGGTACACAGAATGGTGAACTCAAGTCTGATGTTCTTGGACTGTTAAGACAATTTGCTTTCTAACAGGTATCTCCCCAACAGAAGGAAGGAAAACTACCAATAATTAGCATTTACTGACGTTTTGAATAGCACTTATTTAAACTGTCCACTCTCATTCACATCCACAAGTGAAGGAAAAACACCCAGTAACTGAAACTGACAGGCAGTCCTTTATTCCCTTCCTCCCATTTTGATTTGCCCTCAAAAGGCATCTCAGAAAAACAGCCCTCCTCAGGAACACTAGCAAATCCAATGCCTTAACTGCCCCACTTTTCAATCACATCAGCCTTTTGGGGTCAATTTTTTCCAGGTGCACTAGAGGCTTCAGTTGCTCAGCAAAGTTCCTCATGTCATCAGAAACAATGTCCTGTCCAGCTGGCGCAACCACGTTGAGCTCCACCAGGTACGAGAGGGAGAGCGGCTCGATGCTGTCTGTGTTTCCTGGCATTAGGATACGGAAGATCTTGTACACCATGATCTTCATAATGCCCTTGCGGAACACGTGCCCCTTGGCCACAAACTCGTGGTCCATGCGGAAGCCCATCTCCACCAGGAAGTCCGTCAGGTTGTCCGAAGTGGCTATGTCTACGCAGTTGCGTACCAGTGCGTGGCGGCTCTTGTCGCCGATCTCTGGCTGGCCCAGGTACCGCAAATGCCAGGGCATGCCGCTCTTGTCCATGGACCGCCGCGCCCGCAGCACGAAGGGGCTGGCCTGCTGCCCCTTCAGCAGGAACACCATCTCGTGGTCCAGGAAGGTCTCCGGCTCCATGTTGTCGCAGAGGCCACGCAGCCGGTGCAGCAGGCTCTCCAAGCACTGGTCCAACACGCTCCCTGCGGCGGGCCCACAGCGCCTCCGTTACCCCGACCCTGCTCTCCTCCCCCCGTCCGGCAGAGCGAGGCTCCCCCTGCGGCGTGTGCCGCCGCGGGCCCCGTGCCCGCCCGCCTCCCCAAGCACCGCTCACGGCCTGGACCGCCCCTCGGCCCACGCGGAGCGGCCTGGCAGCGCGGCAGGCAGGCCTGGCCGCCGGACGCTTTCCTGGGCGGCGGGAGGGAGCTGCCCGGCCGCCCGCCGCTTACCTTGGAGCAGGTACTCCATCATGTTGATGGTGCCGCCCGACACAGGCATCATGGTCACTGGAGGCGCCTCCATGGTGCCTGACGGGCCGCGAGCAACCGACCGGAGCAAAGGCGGCAGGAGTTGTGCTAACGCGGCACCAGCGCCATCTGGCGGCCTGGAGGTGCCGCTCGGATCTGGAGGGGCGGCCCGGGCCGCGCCTCCCGCCCTGTGAGGACACCGCCCCTCGGCGCCGGCAGCCCAGGCTCCTCCCGCGGCGCAGCCCCCCCCGCCCGCGGCACAGCCCGGGAAAGGCGGGTGCGCGCAGGCTGATGTGAAACCTGTGCCGGGAAGCAGCCCCGTGTGTCACCCGCCAGAGGGCCGGCAGCAGCGGGGCCGGGCGGGGCGGCTGGCGGGTACTTGCGGCAGCGTGGGCAGCAAACTGATGTCAGGGGGCGGGGCGAGAACGGCAGCGGGGCTGGGGAAGGGCCTGGAGCACAAGTGTGATGGGGAGCGGCTGAGGGAACTGCTGAGGGGTGTTTAGTCTGGGGAAGGCTCAGGGGCGACCTCATTGCTCTCTGCAACTACGTGGAAGGAGGTTGTGAGGTGTAGTGAGGTGGGGGTTGATCTCTCCTTCCAGGTAACCGGACAAGAGGTAACGGCCTCAAGCTGAGGCAGGGAAGCTTTACGATGGATGTTAGGAACAATTTATTCACGGAGAGGGTGCTCAGGCATTGGAACAGGCTGCGCAGGGAAATGGTGGAATCACCGTCTGGAAGTGTTCAGAAGCCGTGTAGATGAGGCCATCAGAGATGTGGTTTAGTGGTGGTTGATGCGCGGATTGACTCCACAGCTCGTTAAAGTTGTAAAGTAGGTACGCTTTTTATTCAGCGCTGAGACGCACGGGGATAATTCCTCAAAGTCATGCGTGCCTCAGTGTTGTTTCCCTCTACATTTATTCTCTAAAGTTATATATATTCATAAGGTTGCACAACACGCCTATACATATTCATGTCCTATCCCCGCTTCGTATTATAATGAGCTAGGAGGTCCTCTGCGCCTGCACAGTGCCCCCTCTGGTCCTGGGCAGGGGTCTCAAGATGAAGTAAATGACTCTTCCTCCTGTGGGTAGGGGTCTTCAAGATGAAGTAAATGAGTCTTCCTCTTCTTGCACTTTTCACCTTTCAGTCTTTACATATGGCCTTAGGGTTTGGTCGGTATCCCAGCCATAAACCATCTGCTTCTCCCCCTTATCAGTAGATTCAGGCGTCTGCTTTTCCTTATCAATAGCTGCTTATCAATAGGACCAGGTGCCTTTGTTCTGCTTAGCAGGCATTTACAACAGACAATACTTTTGTTTAAGCAAGCAAATTCCTCTAACCCCCTTGTACAACCCCCCCTGTACAACCCCCTTGTACAACCCCCCTGTACATTGGTCAACTGTCTGCATCATGGTCTTGACAGTGCTGCAGTAATGGTTGGATTTGATGATCTTAAAGGTGTTTTCCAACCTAGTGATTCTATGATTCAGAAAGGCAGAAATCCACCGTCAGGTTTCTCATCTGTACGCAGTGGGTTTTGCACTGTTTCTAGATGGAAAAGCCTCTCTTTAAAAGAAGTATCAGAAAGATCCAGTATGTGTGGGTTAAAATTGGTCCTGCCGGTCTCCAAACCTGACTTACAAAGTCAGTTTTCCTTAGCAGTCTTTGTAACAAGCCTTCAAGCCACACAGACAGCAGACAGTGTGTTTTCATTGCCTTTATCGGTGTCTCTAGACAGTGGTGGTGTTCTGCCTCCAGCACATAAATCACATAAATATCAGCAAATGAAGAACTGCTTAAGTGTGCTCTCCCAGAGCGGTGGTAAGTTGTTTCATCCCATATATACCCATGAAGTGGAACAGGGGTGACTTCAGTCCAGGAGGGACCTCAGTGCTGGTGAAGCTGGAGCTGCTGCCACAGTGGTTTCGTATTGCATGTACTTTCCCGATGTCAGGTAAGAGGCCTGTGTTGAAATAAAGCAACAAACTAGTAAACAAATGGTTTGGGTAACGTTTTATAAGCTCCATTGTGCTCCTAAGAGCAGAACAGTTGGTTATCTCTTGTATGCAGATCAGTGTGGTCATGATGCAGTTAGAACAAAAGAATACGCACTGAGAAAAATAGCTAGGAAAAGCAAAAATGAGTAAAAAATGCTCTCTAGATTTTTACAAGGGATCGTTTCTGAGATTTCACTTATGTCTGTGGTGATAAACTTTATCTCTTCTGCCCAGCTGAGGTGCGTGGTAACGTTAACTACAAATGCCTAAAACCCCCAAGGAGGATATTTACTTTCACATTTTGAAATGCCGGTTGGTTTAAATTACGCAGTTGCAGTTACCTCAGGTAGTTCTGCCCCACAGTCTGAAGAGATACACCATAATGTAATGCAGAAAAGCCCATTATAGAATCACAGTCACAGAATGGTTTGGGTTCAAAGGGACATTTTGAGCTCATCTAGTCCAAACCCCTGCCATAGGCAGGAACATCTCTCACTAGATCTGGTTGCTCAAGGTTCCATCCAGCCTGGCCTTGAACACTTCCAAACCTGTAGGGCTGTGAAAAGTAGGTGAATGAAAGTGGTGCCTCATCCACCACCAGCATCTCCAAAACCCCTGACCTGTGGTGTAAAGGACAGCAAGGATTCAGTCCTGCAGCTGCTGAGCTGCATGTCACCTCGGCTTGGCAGCTCTGTAGTGGGCCTCCACACCTTGAAGGTGTTTTAAAAAGAACCTTGTCCTGCAGTTGCTGAAGCTAAAGTGCAGGAGATGCCAAAGGCACTTGGTCAGACAGATGGAGGAGGTGGAGAAGAAGAGGGGTAGGAATGGAGAGGAAACATGTTGTTCGCAGCCACCTACCTAAGCTCTGCTCAACTCCATTTCAAACCTTTCCTACACGCCTGGCTGTGTCTGTCTTCAGTTCAGCAGTAGCAGTCATTTTTCTCCTTCTTAGTAGCTGGTGCAGTGCTGTGTTTTTGACTTTCAGCCTGGGAACAACGCTGATAACACCAATGTTTTTAGCTCTTGCTCAGTAATGTTTACTCCAACCAAGGACCTTCTGAGTCTCATGCTCTGCCAGGGAGGAGGGGAAGCCAGGAAGAAGCAGAAACAGGACACCTGACCCAAACTAACCAAAGGGGTATTCCTTATCACAGCATGTCATGGCCAGTACATGTGGGGGGAGTTACCCGGAAGGGCTAGATCACTGCTCGGGTCGAGCTGGGTGTCAGCGGGTGCTGAGCAATTGTATTCTCTCCCCTTTCTCTCTCTCTTCTCATTATAATTATTGTTGGTAGCAGCACTGGTTTGTGTTATACCTGAGTTACTGGACTGTTCTTATCTTGACCCGTGGGAGTTACATTCCTTCCATTCTCCTCCTCATCCCTCTGGGAGCAGGGGAGGAAGAAGCAGGGAAGTGAGCGAGCGGCTGCCTGGTTCTGAGTTACCGGCTGGGCTTAAACCATGACGCAAAATCAGAATAGATTCCTCAAATTCTTCTTTCCAAGAAGAAGACCTCACCATAAGCAGTGTAGTAGCAAATGCCACTTGGTGTATTTATAATGAATGGTGGGGAAATGCTGTATGCTCTCTATGTTTCTGCAAAGTTCATGCAGAGGGAACCCAAACCCCTTTCTTTCACCTTTGGGATCGCTACAGTCAAATGACTGTATGTGGTATCAAAGCCTTTACTGATACGGTCTGAGCATACAGATTTATTTAGAGGGACAGCTGGCAGCGGTGCCTAGTGCGTGGCCATCATGGGCAGGGACATTGCCTGGGCCTCCTGGGCACAGTCACCGCCTCAGGGCCAGCAGCCTAAAGGCCTTTCTCCAAGGGATGCTGGGCGAAGGGACAGCAGCAGCAGGGCTGCAGTGGGCAGGGCTGCGGCGGCCCCATCACCGCCATGTCATAGTGCCAGCACCCGGTAACACGGCATCACAGTGCTCCGGGGCAGTATGAGTCCAGCGCCCTCCCCTCTCCCGCTGCCAGAGTGCCCGGCGCTGCCACCAGGACAGAGCTGGCAGGCTGAGGGCATCCGAGAGGAAGCCCTTGAGGCAGCGGGGGAATTACCGGGAGGGGGAGGGGGTTGATGGGGGGAGCACTTGAAGCTGCAAGAAGCTGCAGGAGGTTTGGTGTTATAGTTCCAGCTCCTGGAGGGGCCACGCTCAATGCTCATCGAATGGATGGATGGATGGATGGATGATGGATGGATGGATGGATGGATGGATGGATGGATGGATGGATGGATGGATGGGTGGATGGGTGGATGGAGATCCTGCTTCAGTCATCAGGGAGCTCGCCACCCTCCTTTCCTGTGCACCGGGGAATTAGGTGAGGGGGGGACTGAGGAAGGGAACACTTGAAGCTGCAAAGCTGCAGGATATTCTCTGCTGCAGTTCCAGCTCCTGGAAGGGCCACGCTCAAAGCTCATTGGATGGATGGAAATCCTGCTTCAGTCGTAGGGGAGCTCACTGCCCTTATCTCCTGGGGAGAGAGTGGCAGCAGCCAGAAGAAAAAGGATGCACAGATGGCTCAGTGCCCTCCCCCGGTGCTCTGGAGCTCCCACTGCCAAGCACAGGAAGGATTCTTACTCCAAGGAGTCATCAGAACAATGTCATTTTGTGTTACTAGAAGCCCATGAGATGGCTCCACGTGGAGGCAGAAAAGGCAGTGCCAGTGCCCCCTTGCCCCCTTAGAGGCATAACCAGCGTGTGGACTAGGAGCCGGTCTTGCTCACGTGCTCAGGGAGTAGCCGATCGCCAGCACTGGGGTCAGGAAGGAATTTTCCCCTGGGGCAGATTGGCACCGGTCCCCGGGGGTTTTTTGCCTTCCTCTGAGCACTGAGCATGACTACTTGTCAGGGCTCCTCGGTCCATTCTGGTTGCGTTATAGCCTGGTGCTCGTGCACCACGAAGGTGGCCCCTTGTGTCCTGCAGCTGGGGCGGGGAAGGCTTTGTCCCCCCCCAGGCTGGACTAGCAAGCATCCCTCGGTTTATTTTGCCTTCCTCTGCAGCCGAGCACAGCCCCTCCATGGGACTCCTTTGGGTCACTGTGTCCCAAAGGCAGCAGCTCATGCTCCACGCAGGTGGCCCTCGTGC